CGCCGAAGCTCTGGTATCTGAGGACGACGGTTATGGAAGTTCAGGATCTTCACATACCGTCAAATTTGCCTCCATTGACGACTCCAGAGATTCGCGTCAAAGCTCAGCTCGGATCCCAATCGGCGCGAACCCGGCGCGGCTCCATGAACAACCACTGCGCGTCGTTTCACTGGAACGAGGACCTCATCTTCGTCGCCGGCGAGCCGCTTGAGGACTCGCTGATTCTACTCGTGGAGGACCGCACAAACAAGGACGCCGCGCTCCTCGGCCACGTCCAAATTCCGGTGAGCTCGATCGAACAACGAATCGACGATCGCTACGTGGCGTCCAAGTGGCTCCCACTGGAATGCGGGGGCGGCGGAGCTGCGCCCCACTGTGTGAGCGGCGGAGATGGGTCCTACTGCGGGAGAATCCATCTGCGCCTTTGCCTGGAGGGTGGGTATCACGTGCTGGACGAAGCGGCGCACGTGTGCAGCGACTTCAGGCCGACGGCTAAGCAGCTTTGGAAGCCGGCTGTCGGCATTTTGGAGCTGGGGATTCTCGGCGCGCGCGGCTTGCTTCCGATGAAGGCGAAATCCTTCGGGAAAGGCTCCACGGATGCTTACTGTGTGGCCAAGTACGGGAAAAAGTGGGTCCGGACCCGAACCGTCATGGACAGCTTTGACCCGAGGTGGAACGAGCAGTACACGTGGCAGGTTTATGACCCTTGCACTGTCCTCACCATCGGAGTGTTCGACAACTGGCGTATGTTTGCTGCCGCGGGGGAGGACCGGCCAGACTACAGTATAGGAAAAGTACGAATACGTATATCTACGATGGAGAGCAACAAGGTGTATACGAATTCGTACCCGTTGCTGGTGCTGCTGAGAACCGGGTTGAAGAAAATGGGCGAGATTGAGCTGGCCGTCCGGTTCGCCTGCCCGTCGTTGCTGCCCGAGACGTGCGCGGTGTACGGCCAGCCGTTGCTTCCCAGAATGCACTACCTCCGCCCGCTCGGGGTCACCCAACAAGAGGCGCTACGTGGCGCCGCAACTCGCATGGTGGCTGCGTGGCTGGCGAGGTCCGAGCCGCCGTTGGGGCAGGAGGTGGTTCGGTACATGTTGGATGCGGATTCGCATGCGTGGAGCATGAGGAAGAGCAAGGCCAATTGGTTTCGGATCGTGGCGGTTCTTGCGTGGGTGGTCGGGTTAGCGAAATGGTTGGATAATATCCGGAGATGGAGAAACCCGGTTACGACGGTTTTGGTCCACGTGTTGTATTTGGTTCTTGTTTGGTACCCGGATCTGATTGTCCCAACCGGGTTTTTATACGTTTTCTTGATCGGAGTTTGGTATTACCGATTCAGGCCCAAGTCACCAGCTGGTATGGATATCCGGCTTTCGCAAGCGGATTCGGTCGACCCAGATGAGCTCGATGAGGAATTTGACACCATCCCAAGCTCAAGACCGCCCGATATCATCCGGGTCAGGTACGACCGGTTGCGAATGCTGGCGGCCCGGGTCCAAACCGTTTTGGGCGATTTTGCAACCCAAGGAGAGAGGGCCCAAGCATTGGTGAGTTGGAGGGACCCTAGAGCCACAAAATTGTTCATCGGTGTGTGCCTAGCAATCACTGTGGTTTTGTACGCGGTGCCACCAAAAATGGTTGCTGTGGCCTTGGGATTTTACTACCTGCGCCACCCCATGTTCCGCGAGCCGATGCCTCCGGCGAGCCTGAACTTCTTCCGACGGCTTCCGAGCTTGTCGGACCGGCTAATGTAGAGAGTGGAAGGAAGAAAATTACTAGACATATCATATATGTGAGAGCATTTTTTTTAGGTGCCACATTTTAGAGGGTGTGACAAATTACAAGGCAAAGCAACTGTGCTAAGTTGAAAAGTGGTCTTTTTAAGGAGGGAAAAAAGGGATTTGACCCAAAAAAAAAAAAAGAAGGGAGAATTGGAGGGAAAAGTTCAAAAGCTGCAAAGTTGTCATTATTTGGTTGAATTGATTGACTGACTGATAAAAAATTGATCGATGTAAGAGAGCGGCAATGTTGGGGTGGGGAAGAAAAATGAGTGGTGGACTGGGATGATGTTCTGGAACACTTCAATTAAATTGCTTTCTAACATGTAATTTCAATCTCAGCCGTTCACTTTTTTATATTACTCAGTACTTTGTGTCATTGAGAAAAATTGATTAATTCTTCGTGGATATGTTTCTCCAATTTTACGACCATATGTTTTTTTTTTTTTTTTTTAGCCGCTTGTATTTTAAAATTTGTTCTGCATGTGAAAATGCTCATGCATATTATGAAAGACGAGTGTTAAAATTACTGGTCTATTTTTATTCTCTCTTTAAGTATTTGAGCGGGCGATACTGTTTTTCACTGAAATGATTGCTTGCTAGCCATTGGTAATTAGGCTTGGTGGTTTTGTTTCTTTGAAATTATTACAATGTATGAGAGGGCCAGAGTTGTAGGATAAACGTTAAGGCTTGCTCCCCCTCCTCTCAATCGTCTTCAAAATTCACCGCATTTTCGGTTTTGATCGAAGGAATTTTTCGGTTTTCAGCATTTGTTGTGTTTAATATGAGAGAGACGACAACGCTAGAAAAACATGACGGCTCTAAAAAGGAGAAAGGCAACGTTGAGAAGGACGAGAATGAGGAGGAGAAACACAAGGATGGAAAAGATGAAACAGAGTAGAAAAAGAGTCAAGACAAGGAGAACAAGGAAGGTAAAGGTGAGGAGGATAGAAATGGTGATCCTGAAAAGGAGGAGAAAGAAGAAAAAAAAGCCTCGAAGACAAAAGCTTGCTAGCTAGGTTTGGGCATTGGTGGCAAACAAACATGGAACTTTGAAACTGCCTATTCTTTTGAGACATTTTTGTAATAAGACTAGAAAATGATTCAAATTTGTAACTGATTTTAGTTTTTTTTTTTTTTTTTTTTTTTTAAGGAAAACTAACGAAGAATGTTTGAAAATTGAATTTTAACGTTAAGGACAAAATAAAAGATAAAATGAATAGTACCAGGATTGATTTTTTAGTGTAAAAATATGGTTTTTCGTTAAAGTAAATAGTACCGGAAGCTTTTCGTTAAAATTTCTTTTTTTATATGTGAAACATTGTATACTATTTATTTATTTATGTTGTTGTTAAATGTGCCATTGATTCAATTCCCATGTAACTAGAAATCCATATTTTGTGACGTGCAATTTTCTTGTAATGTTCTTACTAATTTGCTTTTGATATAGAAAGCTATTATTGACACTTCATAGTAGACCTGACAATTTCTTACACGACCCGTTAACACGACATGTAAACGACACGAAAATAACGTGTTTCGGGTTAACACGATAACTAATCGAGTCATTATCGGGTCACACGATAATAACCTGTTAATAACGGGTTTTTAACATGTTTACACGATAGTAACACGCGGTAACCTGTTTCGACACGATAAGAAAAAAGTTATTTTGATGATTTTAATTTTTTAAACTACTAAAAAAAACTTACTATAAAATACAATAGATATAATGAATATGTATATATTGTTTATTAATTATTATTCTATATAAAATTTTAAAATTTATTTAAATTTTATTTATTAATTTATTTTATTATATAAATAAGGCAAAAGATTGAAATTAAAATTAAAAATCTTAAAAACATTAAAAATAAAAATATCAAGTAATTTAAAAATACCAAACACATTAAAAAAATTATAATAATTAATTTACATGTGCGAAAAATATGAAAAAAATATGCAAATGCTCGTAGTCGCATCCTCTACGCTTCAAGGATGGGTATATGATCGTTTGAATTTTTAAAACCATACAAACTCTCATGAATAGTATTTTTAAGGGAGCTCAAAATAAACAAAATTCATAATCATTAATGTATAAGTTTGAAAGATGTGAAAACATAATAAATGTTCATAATTGTATCCTCAACGCTTAGACGATGGTTACATGGTCTTTTAGATTTTTAAAACCCTCCAAATCTCATGAACAATGTTTTTTATTTGAGTGCAAAATTAATAAAATTAATAATAATTATTGTGAAGTGTGAAAAATGTAATCACTCGTAATGAAAAACTTTACAATTTTCATGAATGGGTCAACTCTGAAATTTAGTATGTATATACTAATTTAATATTATGTTTTACATTTTTTGGGGTCAGATTATGTTTTTCATTTTCATTTTTATTGATTTAAAATATATTTTTCTTAACAGGTAACGGGTCGGGTCATATTACCTGATAATATGGGTTGATTTCGGGTTGGGTCATATTACCCGTTTACTTTAATGAGTATTACACGACACGACACGACCCATTAAGCTATCGGGTATAACACGAAAACGACACGAACACGAGAAACACGACACGAATGCTAGGTCTACTCCATAGCATCATAATATAAATTTGCTTATTTATTTTGTAAGAGAATAACGCATAATGATTAAGAACAGCTCCAGCCCTTTACCAAAAAATGGAAAAACCAACTCCATCCCAATCCAAAAAGCCGGGTAATCTGTTACAACCCCAACCACCTTCTAATAAAAAAAGAGTACATTTTTGCTCACCACCATTTAGTGTGGTGTATGTTCACCACCTTATTTATCACCGTTAGATGAGTTTTAATTTTGAGATTTGTTCCTATCCACTACACGAATCTCGAAATTGAAACTCATCTAACGGTGATAAATAGAATGATAAGCATACACCACACTAAATGGTGGTGAGCAAAAATGCTCTCTAAAAAAAATGGTATTTAGTTTTAAAATGGTGAGCCAAGGGGCCTACCCCTGAAATTTGTTCCCCTAGTTTCTTATCTCTTCCCTCTCAGTAATCTCTTCTTTCCCTTTTCCCCGTCTCTCTCTCTCTCTCCCCACTAACCTCCGCGGATTTGGATCCTCTCCTGAGCTAATGGAGAGGATCTTCTTGACCAGTTATCATGAGCCGTTGGATAAAAATCCAACGATTATAATTATTATAACTTTAAAAGAACCCCCTATTTGTAGCCGTTGGATAAAAATCCAACGGCCCATGATAACTGGTCAGGAAGATCCTCTCCATTAGCTCAGGAGAGGATCCAAATCCAACCTCCGCAACTCACCCCACTCTCTCTAACTCGCCGAGGACCACCACCCACAACCACCATCTCTTACGGCTTGGTTCAACACAAAATCACTAGAAATAGATTTTGGGTTGCCTGAGCATCACATCAGTGGCTCTGCATGGACCACCTGCGCATGGCAGAGTTTCGAACTCACTGAACCGTGAGCTTCGAGTCTTCCCCGTCGGTCCCAGGTGAAGCATCTGCCTCATTTAGTGTTTAATCCAAGGTTTTTGAGTGTTGTGGAGATAATTTCGAGCTCTAACTCTTGCATGCATGTTTATACCTTCTTCCCAGTTTCGACTGGTGTGTACGGCCGAACTCCGGCGAGTTTGTTGCTGTGGGTGCAGGGATCCCTTCGAATTCGAACCCAGGTAATTAAATTACCTTGTTGTTTGGTTGATCAATGCTGAGATGTGCGTGTGTGTTATCTGGGGATGTGCATGTGCAGTGTGGGTACGGTGTGTGTGCTTGTGAGTGTTTGTCTGTGTGGGTGTGTGCGTGTATGGTGAGTGTGCATGCCGTGCATGTGTGAGCGTATGTGTAGTGTATGTGTGTATGGTGCAGTGCATATGTGCATGTGTGTGTGTATTGTGCTCGAGTGTGTGTGTGTGTAAGCTTGTGCACGTGAGTGTGTTGCATGCTTGCGTGTGTAAGTGTGTGTGGGTGAGGTGTTTTTGGGCTGCACAGTGGGTGTGTGCAGGCCGTGTGTGTATGTTTGTGTAGTGTGTGTGGGTTTGGGCTTAAGCCCAAACCACCCTTCTTCAGCTTAAACCCTTTTAACCCATTAGATCCTAACCCATCCAATCCTAATCCTTTACTTTATTTAATTCAAGCCCGACATCCTTTAGAAAATCCTTTTATTTATTTATTACATTTTTGTGCTTAGATGAAGTTGCTAGTGAGGGAATTTTTAATCTTTATCAGCACAACTCTACTGCTAAGGAGTATCTGTAAGTGGACCATTTCTAAAATTTGCATAATTTCATAGTTCAATTGCATAAATTAAATACATGCCTTACGAATTTATGAACTGAGTTTTATGTTAAGTAAGTTTATGAAATATGTTGTTTATCGTCTTGTTTTGGTGAGGAATTAATTGTTGACCTAAATTGAGCTATATTTTAATATATCGTATTTTCTATAAAAACCATGAACTGGTAGACTGACACACCGTCCCGAAGAAGGGCATGCTGGCTGTCACGTGAGAGTAACGTAACCATTTACACAGTTCGGAAGCTTTAAAAAATACAATTACTAAGATGAAACACCCGAGGGTGAGTCCTACTTTTGTGAATTCTGTCAGAACACCGTTGGATTCCTCGTGGCCACCAAAGCTCTGCTATCTAGAACCTGGAGGGGCGCAAAACAAAATTGAGTGGGTCAGTAAAACAAAGTTTTTCGAAAACATTTCATTTAAAACATTTTTAACCCCTCGCTGTAAAACCTGTATACTTTCCCAGAAAAATAGTATATAATATGCATATAAATCTTCAAATATCTCAAATCATCAATCTTTATCAAATCCAGAAAATATGCCATGTCATAATGTCAAAAACAGAATATGGATGCATCAATATAACATGTGAAATAAGGAATCAACCGGAGACCCTGCAGTTGGTCCTGTACGGTTAATTCAATAGCTCAATATCCAATCCAACCGGAGTCACCACGGTGACTTGTACGACACTACTCTGCACATAAGTCGGAACTACCTGAAGTAGTCTGTACGATAAGAATGGTGTAATAATACGCTCTAGTGATTCTCTCATCAATCATCTGTGCACATAATCTAAGGTCACCTACCAGTCGGAACCACCTGAAGTGATCTGTACGACTAGCATGTCGGAACCCTCTCATGGTCTGTATGACATGCACCTACTTGGATCTAAGGTGAGCGTGCGGTGCGGTGAATAATATAAGCACTAACACCAGGGGTGCAGGTTATGAGCTCTCAACACAGTTCACATCATCAATGATTCACATGAATAACATAAAACTCACATGTGCGTCCACAACACCAATTCACATATATATATGCATCAATTATCAATTCATATATCTCATAATATGCATGCATGACATTTTAAAACGTACTTTCATTTAAACTCAATTTCTGGGAAAAATATCAATAGTATATAGGTATAAACAGAAATACTGCCCACTCACCTGGAGTTCGCCCAACAACTCCCTAGCACAACACATCAAGGCGTCATGACGATCGGCGCCTAGAACAATAATCAAATCCAACCTCAGAAATCATATCGATAGAATATATAACTTATATAAAACATGTCACTACGTAGTTCGATCCGGAAGATCTGCACCTCAGATTTCAAATACATAACTTCCAGAGGTCCACAATATACCTCTAGGACAACATCCTAAAATTTCATTACCATCCAATGGTTGGATCTCTGTCAATTGTCGAAACCGAGTGACGGTTAACATTCTATTTTATGAACTTACAACTCCAATTCCGGAAGATCCGTAAATCGGATTCCCAATCCGTAAGTTCCTATAATCCTCAAATATTACGTATTACAATGTATCAAAGTTTGGTGACGATCCGACGGTTGGATCGTCGATTCACCTTTTGGCCTAACCACGAATCGTAACGAACTTAGGTTCAATTACTCAATTTACGTCCATCAATTATCAAAACTGAACCTAGAACCTTAAACACATGCTAAGAATGACATTGGCGGGCCATTGGCCATGCGCCGCCGTACGGGCCGCCGCGGGTGGCGGTTGGCCGCCCCGGCTCGCCGGAAAATCCAACTATTTCAAAAAATTCTCAAAAAATACAGAATTGAAGATCAATGAGTAAGTAAACTTTATACCTGAGGACAAGGCCAATTTGGCCTGGAAAGGCTCCAATTTGCTCAAACCCGTGCGAAACCCTAGAATTGGGTGAGTTCCAATTCATCCTCAAATCAACTCCGATGCTCCAACTAATGCTTGGGCTTTGTTCTAGGCCTCAAGAGAAGTGTATGGGTGGTGGCAATTGAAAGAAATTGCTTCGGGATTGGGTGAATTTGAACAAGAAAGTCGCGGCACCTGTGTGGGTGTTCTTCGCGAAATCACCACGAAATTCATTGATTTTTGGGTCAATTAGGATGCTAGGATATCTTGCAGGTGTTTGGGGTTGATGGGAGGTTGAAGAAGACCAGAAATTTGGACGGAAAACCATCGGAAAATGGCCTTGTGGGAGCGGATCGCCGCGTGGGTCAAATGGACCCGACCGATCTCTTGTTTTTCCTTCCTCCTCCTTTCCCTCCTTTCCTTCTTCTGGTTGGCCAGTCAACTTCCTCTCTCCTCTCCCCATTCGGCCTCTCCTCCTTCTTCTCCGATTGGGCAGCTTTGCCCAATCTGTCTTTTTTTTTCTCTGTTTTCTTTTCCTCCCGATGCCTTCTTCTTTCTTATTCTTACGCACACACACACACAAAACCTTCTTTCTCTCATCCCAACCATCCATTTAATTCTTCATTAAATCTAGGCCGTCCATTTTCATAAAAGAAATTCTAGATTTTACTAAAATTATAATTCCTTAAAATCCCAAATTTCAAACGTTAATAACTTCTTCGATATAACTCCAAATCACGAACCGTCAGCGTCCACACGTCCGTAGTGACGAATACTACGAGGATATGTCAAGAAAATAAATTTTAGATGGCACGACACAACGATTAACCTCGAATAATGTGCGTGCCTCAAATGGCATTTTTGTAAAATCCTTTATTAAAACTTTAAAAACTCTTAAAATTAGGGACGGGCTGTCACATAGACTATCTGATGGATGACGATAGGATGCTAGAACATGTTTTAAAAATCCTTCTTTATAGTATAGACGATGAATGACTTTATATTATGAAGTGGTTATTTATGAGAGACGTAACTATTTGTACGTACCTAGTGGACACTATGCCGTCTGGGGCGAGGATCTGGTGTTAGCAAATAGGCCAGGAGAAATAATCCCTAGCTACGGGCTGAGGGACACAGAGCAGGCATTGGGCCGGGAGTTGGTAATCTCTGGCTATGGGCACAGAGACCACGGTGCTGGCATAGGGCTGGGAGATATATATATTTATTCAGTGATCTTACTAGTAGTACATTATGCTAAGAGACGATTTATGAGACGTTAGATATTTTGTGTTTCACGATATGTCTCTTGAGATATTTTTGGCATGCTAGGATTTTCATTAAACCTATCACTTATTATGCTAGTAGTTTTCTTTATATAAATTGTGGGGGTTAGTATCTTAATAACTGTTTTATTATTATTGTATATATGAACTTGGTCCACTCACATTTGTTTTGCGCCCCCATTCAGGTATTAGAAACGAGGACTACGACACAACGTACGAGGCATTCCCCTACTAGTAGCAATCTATCACTCACTTGTGTGATATTCTGTAATGATCTTTCCTTTGTGAAATTTTTTAGAAAGTATTTGTGCACTCTAGACACTTCATTAAGCTTTGTTTATTACTTCTAGATTCTAATGTTTATTCATGAATATTTCCTCATAATCATTACTCTTGTAATCAATAAATGGCTTTCATCACCCTCAGGTGTTTGCTAGCACATGCCTATCCGGGTATTCAGAGAATATCAGGTTCGGGACGTGTCACAATCAGTGGGCCCAAAGCATTTGAATTGCCCAATCAGGCAATTCGTGCTCGACCTTACGCCCGAGTGCCATCTGACATCATACTGATGTCATCATGACGTTAGTCATGTCAGAGGGTTTTTTGAGCCAGGTGCGTGGAGTACAAGAACATGTGAGAGGCGCGTTGGGGGACAAAAAAGGACTATGGGGCCCACAGTGTAGCGCACTTAACACAGGTGAAACAGGGGTTATGTGGCCTGTTTATATCTGTTGGATTCCTAATGATAAAATATAATTTCTTAATTCTTTTTAAATAAATTTTTAATATCAATTGTACAGGAAATTTAGTTACTAGATGAAGATGCACTTAGACAATTACTATTCGTTACGCCTATTGCCCTAACAGGTGGAACTGCAAAATTGACGTGAATGAATTTCCACTCAAATATACAAAACTGGATTAGAGCCAATGTGGCTCAGCCCAAACGGTCCAGTAAGTCATCTAAGTTTTAACGATTTTCTAAGGCTAGTTTATTATGTGCAATGTCGAATTTTGTAGTTTTAAGTGGTTATGAGCGTTTTTCTTACACCCAAAATCTTATAAACGAAATCGTAATGAGCTTGGTTTCAACTAATCTCCACCTCTTCCTTGCCTCTTTTGAAGTCCAACATCTTTGAATCATCAGAATTTCCACCCTTGTACGATCATAGTACTCTTGTGTATTAATTTGCCATCAATGAGGAAACTTCCTCACTAAATCCACATGCAAACGACAACAACAAAGTCTTATCATATTACGTGAGATCGGCTGTATGAATCCTAAAATGTTACTCCGCTCGGGTTTACGCTAAATCTACATGCATCCCACATTATATAATAAAACATATTTCTACCCATTAATCCAGATATTAATAACCTTGATCTCAATTGCTTCAACGACAAGCAATGAGTAACTACAACATTGGCGAGTATGCCAGAGGTTAAATTTACTCTGCAGTCTACACCTCCAGTTCTTCCTTCTTCTCTTTGTCTCCTCTTTTCCTTTCTATCAATCCTTAACATTTTCTTGTAATCTTGATCAGATCTTCTCTGCAAAGACTATGTTCATGAACCGCTGATTCGGTTTGATTCGAAATAATTCAACTGGATTAGTGATATGTCATGCAAAGGTTAATCTGTCTAATGGTCTATGATTTGCTTCTTCACAACATTACTTTTCTGTCAAGTATGCTGCAACTCTTTTTTTTTTTCGCGACGGTTTGATGGTTTCTGTGACTGTTGCAGTTGATCTGGTTGCTCCTGGACTCGGCACCCTATTCAGTTTTATCATATACCAGATTGTGGCAGGGTAAGAACTTCCTGTCATTTTCCATCGGGAATTGTTATTAGCACTCTGAAATAGTCATTATGCAGCGTTCATTGTGGCTAACAGGCGGAACTGCAATGCGAAAATGTTTTTGCTGCGGTTGCTGGAGGAATCGGGCTGATACGAAATCCCTTTAAGAGATATGATCCAGTTGCAAACTTTTCTGCCGTGAGAGGAGGCAGTTCTCTGATCTCCATCGGAACCGACCTTGCCTTCGACATATCTGCAGGAACATTAGACAAGTTCAATGCCAGTTTCAGCTTCAATAGCGACTTTGTTTCTGCTTCCTTGTCCCTGTGAGCAATCCTGTTGAGAACTTGGAGAAGATAAAATGTGTAGAAATATATATATATATATATATATATATGTATGTATGTATGTATGTATGTATATAAAAGTCAGCATATATAACTATTTGAATATGCAGGGACAAGCTAGACACTTAGAAAGCTTCATGCTTCACCATGGTCAATCCCCTGAGCAACACAGCCCTTGGAGCAGAGTTGAAGCATAGCTTCCCAATCAATGATACTGCCCTCACCATTGGCGCCCAACACGCATTCTTGCCGTCTACAGTGGCGAAGGCTCGAGTTAGCAGACACGGCAATGTTGGCGTTCTTACGGCAGAAGGTGTTTCTGTCTATATCTGGAGAAGTGGATTTTATAGGCGTAAAGAGAAGCCCAAACTTTGGACTCTCTCTGTGTTAGGCTCTAAAATAACCTAATTTGTAAGCAAATTTTGCGGGTGTTGCGAATTCGAATACGATATGAAAGAGTAAAAAATGTGACATGTTTTTATGAAGAAATTCATGCACTCGACAAATAAAAACGCTTTTAAGTCTGTCTGAAAAAGGCAAAACTGTACAAGATTCATGTTTACACGAATAATTCTCTCATTGTATAAGATCATTATACGCTCACCAGAAATCGTAAATGCTCACATATACAGTATTAAACAATTAAACCATGAAAAGAAAACTATAAACAAATAAAGCACGTCGTAATGACCCAAAAGAAGTTCCTGCAGATGAGCGATAAAAAGCTTGTAGAAGAACCGGACTACTGATAAGAACCCTGAAGAAGTCCATCACGAATCTGAGAAGCTACATCCCGTACAGCACCAGGTCCATGGGGAATAAACACGGTGGAGGATTTAGAGGCAGCGCCGATCTCCTTCATGGTGTCAAAATACTGAGTGACAAGGACCATGTCCATGACATCCTTTGCAGTCGTCCCTGGAACATTGACGGAGAACCCCAGCACACTGTCTCTCAAACCATCTACAATTGCTTGACGCTGGCGAGCTATACCCAGCCCAGAGAGATACTTTGACTCAGCCTCACCTTCAGCTCGTTTAATTTGCAAAATCTTCTCAGCCTCTGCCTTCTCATTAGTTGCCACTCTCATTCTTGCAGCTGAAAAAATATAGAAAATATGGTAAAACAATTGAAACCAAACAGATCACATGTGCGGAACTGCATAAACATCGAGAATAAGACTCATACCAGCATTGATTTCATTCATTGCCCGTTTCACATGCACATCTGGTTCTATGTCAACAATGAGCGTTTGCACAATCTCATAACCGTATGCAGACATAGCCTGCAACGCAAGGAAAGCAACTTGGTTAAAAGTCGAGTTGTATTTAGACACCACAGTATTATTTGAATTTTGCTTTGCTGCATTACTTTTTCGAGCTCATCTTCCACTGCTTTTGCAATTTCATTCTTCTGCTCAAAAGCAGCATCCAGATTCAGCTTTGGAACACTAGCTCTAATCACTGCGAGAAGGAAAAAGGCAAACTCAATCAACTACAAACACTTCTGATTAAAAAACACTAAAATACGTGTATCAAAAAGTCCATTATCTCTAATTTATTAAGAGGGATATTTAGTTTATACCGTCGAAGACATAGGCCTGGATTTGAGACCTCGTGTTGGTGAGTTTGTAGAAAGCATCATCTGCTTTGTTTGCTAGAGCACGATATTGAATAGATGCAACGACGTTAACAAATACGTTGTCCTGAAAAGTATATAAAACAATCATTCAAGTTTCACATATAAAGAACTTGAAATAAAAGACATGCAATGAAATTGCAAATTCAGTTTCTTATCTAAAAACATTGGAGAGTGTAAGCGTCCAATATTCAATTAAAAGAAATACAGAGGGGACAAGTGCTATGGATTAAGTCGTCTCCACTTATGAAAGTTGACACACCTTTGTCTTGGTCTCACAACGCACGTCCAATTGCTGCAAACGAAGAGAGAGATGACCAGCAAGCTGATGCCCAAGAAACCAAGGCAGGCAATGACATCCTGGCTCAAGAACATCCACAAACTTTCCAAATCTTTCCCTTATAGCTACCGTGGATTGATCAACTTGAACACAACAGAATAGATTACCCATGTTCTCTCCGCTATAGTACCTCCAAGAAAGATATACGTATACCAAGGTCATGTACATATATCAAAACTAAAGTTTAAAACACGGAGATTGATAGGTAGCCTTTTCTTGGTTAATAAATAACCAAAAAAAGCTACTTCATATTATAAGCAAGTTTTTCTTCATAATGGTTATTCAAGTCTTTTGAATTTTCCATACTTCACGATACCTAATTGAACAAGCAGCAAAAGTACATATGATAAATCTTTGAAACTATACAGATCACGAGTTCAAGACCCAGAGTTCGCACTAAGAACCTGCCAACTCCAAATTTCAATTGATCTCAGACAATAATACTAGTACTAATCTCTGTGTGAGCAAGCTACGAGAGAGAGATTTATAATTCATATGTCAAGCAAAAGAGATAAAACAGAATCAAGGCATGATTGCAACATGGACATAATTCAAGTTGATCTTTCATAAAACTATCCTAAATTCCAACTAGATTATAAATAAAAAAAAAGGGATTTTTAGAAGCAAAACACATCTAAAATACCGAGAACAAGAACGCAGACACTCCCAAAACTATTTAGTCACCTTCTAGAGAGAGAGAGAGAGAGAGAGAGACTTACAGTTACAGTTAGTATAACAGAAGAGGAGGACAAGAGAGGCAGGGAAGAAGGAAGAAAGATAGGAATGAGTTGACCCAAACAAGGTTAGATATATAAAGATTCTGACAATATAGACTTGTAAATCTCTTCAAAAAGACCGCAGTCCAAAACCTTAGACGCAATAAAGAAATACCAACAACAACGAAGTCTTATCCAACTAAGTGGGGTCGGGACACAGTAAAGATAACTTAAAAGGTCAATGAGTTATATACCGATAATTCGGCACTAGGTATATAACTAAGAACACTTAATACCATGAGCTGTAACAACAACTTTACACAATTAAATCCCAAACAAAACAAAAATTAACATTTAAAAATTGCAAATCCCTACATAAAACAAACTAGTTGACTGCAAAACAAGCCTCAAAAACATCGTAAAAGGTGCTTAAATAGCAAAAGCATTGGCAGCAGTACATAGTTTTCATCAAGATACAACCAGGAGATAACTTATTATACAAAATCAAAGAACAAGAACAGACACACATACATCAAATGAATACAATTCCTCCCCCACAACATTCATCGCCACAGCTACCAGCTAACACTTTTGCCTTCTTAGCCACGAAAACGACATTTGGGGTTCTGCTGCATTTGTTTCTTCATCATATTTTTTCGAGAATGCGATATTTTAAACTACGAAGAGGGATATTCAAACTCAGTACAACGGGTGGACGCACCAACTAGCCTAACCCACATTTTCCATTTTCACTGGCTTCACATATACATACAAAAAATCGAAAACCCATGTTGCAATTCAATAAAAAAAAAAAATTTCCGGGAAAAAAAACAGAACTTTGCCGGGAAAATGTGGAGAGATTGTAAAAAGCGAGTAATGTCGATACGAATTGCTTAACTAAACGAAAATTGCAAATCGACCCGTCATCCAAAATTGAGAATTGCAGAGAAAGAGATGCGAAAGGTACCTTCTTTGCAAATTTTAGCAAATTGCAGCTGACCCTTGAATGCTTGAAGACGAAGAAAGATAAGAACTGCGGTATTTAAAATTGAATAAAAAACGGGGAAGTGATAAGCTTTGAAGCAATTTTTGCGGATATGTTCTTTCAGCTGCAAAAGGGCCAATCAGCAATTTTTCAAGTTTTTATTTGTGCTGTTTGTCCAAGGTTTAAAATATCGATATTATTCTAATATTTTTATTGAAATTTTCGTGTTTTTTGACTACCGATATTTCCGATATCATCGATATTTTAGACCTTGATAGGAACTCTATGTGGTACTAAGTCACTCATGTATCTTACCATGCAATGTATAAAGTGTAAAATATTGTACTAATTTATTATATATAAATGATTATGATGTGTTTAAACTTCTTTCATTAATTACTACATATTTTCTACTTTCACAATGTTTGTCAGCTCGCTATATAATCAACTTAAATCAGTTAAATCCATCATGCAATGCATTTCCTTCCAATTTTTTGTGATAAACTAATAGATAATTGACTAAATAAACATCTTGCAAAGTTTCAATAAAAGTTTCTAAGTTTTTCTTACAATTTCTGTGGTTTTTATTCAATTTTTATCTATATCGATAATATCTCGATATTTCCATCGAAATTTCCGTGTTTTTATACTACCGATATTTCCGTTATCAATATTTTAGACTTGTGTCTGTCTGATCTAATCCTCGTCGTTTCAATTTCTGATACCATTGTTTCGACGATATATTACCACGTAAACTTTCTTATTAGAGTTCACAAATTGACACGTAGCTTCCAACTAGATTGCCAATCCACAAGTGGGCCAGGAAAGTCAACACTCTCCTTGGTCCCGGTGAATCATATTTTGTTTTCTTGATGCTGAAGAATTCTTTTATGTTACGTAACATTTAATGCCACGAAGATTTGATGGTCCAAATTAGTTTGAAGTATTGCTTGTATTGTGGTTGTGGTTATGTGAATTCAAGTTATCTAATATTTGTCGCATTTAATGCAACATAGTGCTGATGTGGAATTCTCTTGATGCCAAATTTTTTTTATTTTATTTAAGAACATAAAAAGGTTACACACAAAATAAGTGCCAGAAGATTTGAAGTCATTGGAGGAGGGCTAGCGTCAAAGTGAAAATTAAGCATTCATGTGACCCTCCTTATCTAAATTAGAGACTTCCTACCCCATTTTCGGCTTTCCCCTTCCCCCTCAGGACTCATCTGACTACTGACAACAAAGCGCTTTGTATTGGTTTCTAGTCACTATTATACTCTTTGTCCTTTTCTTTTTGAAGCAAAAGATATTAACACACACTAAGATATGGGTTAGTAGGCTAAGTTTCACAATAAGTTAGCAATAATATGGTTCAATTCGCCTTTAATGATAATCGAACATAAGGCCTCTCACTTATAAGTGAAAAAGAATACCACTAGACAGTATTACTAAAATAGTTGTTCCCAAAATAAAAAGAGTAGAGGTCACTTAGTACTATAGTGAAATGATATTCTTTTTAATTTGTAAGTGAAAGTTCTTAAGTTCAATTCTCGTCAAATATAGACCATAACCAAATTATTTGTGGCTAGCCTATTGTAGATTTAACTCACTTGTCCACCCGTTAGTATAAATAATTTCAATGTATTAATAAAGATGAGTAGAATATTCCTAAAAAGCAACATAAAATCTTCCAAAAGTGGATTTTAATTGTTTTGGCATAGTGTTGGGCTTTAGCTTCAAGAGTTTGATTCAAAAAATAGGCTGGAGTTTTGGTTCAGCCCAATTCCCATCTAATTTGGAAAAAAACATTTCTTGTAATTTTATTGGATTTGGAAAGATAAAGCTATCACCTTTCATCAATTTGATTGGCAGGGACACAGCGACGTTCGATAACCAGACACAAAAATCCCCTTTCTTCCCTCTCTCTCTAACATCCCACGTGGCAAGCCACACACGGAGAGCCGGAGCTTCGGTACACATCATCAATGGCGGTCAGTACTGCAGCATCTTCAGCTACCTGCAATCTCAACCACACCAGCAACTTCCTCTCCTCCAAACCCCACTTCAGTTTCATTTCTGGTTCATCCCGCAACTTCCCCGCCAAATCAAGGCCCTCAACAATCGTTTCCATGGCGCCCCAAAAGAAGGTAATTACGTCCACTCCTTCTCTGTAACTTCTGTTTGGCTACCAAGAAAGTATATTTATACCAAATTACGAATACCCTTTTGATTTTTGGTTAATAAACATATACCCTTTTGTTCGTTTGCTGAGAAGATGTGAATTTTGTAAATTTCCAGGTGAACAAGCTCGACGGCGGCTGGGAGAAGAAGTGGTACGGAGCGGGAATCTTCTACGAAGGGGCGGAGGAAGTGGAAGTCGACGTCTTCAAGAAGCTGGAGAAGCGGAAGGTCCTCAGCAACGTCGAGAAGGCGGGGCTTTTGTCCAAGGCGGAGCAGCTCGGGGTGACCCTGTCGTCGATTGAGAAATTGGGGCTGTTTTCGAAGGCGGAGGAACTCGGGCTCCTCAGCCTGCTCGAGAAGGTGGCTGGATTCTCCCCAGCCGCCTTGGCCTCGGCGTCGCTGCCCATATTGGTGGCGGCTGTGGTGGCGGTCGTGGTTATACCGGATGACTCGACGGCCCTGGTGGCGGTGCAGGCTGTGGTGGCGGGCGTGCTTGGGGCTGGCGCTGCTGGATTGTTAGTTGGGTCAGTTGTCTTGGATGGCTTGCAAGAAGCTGATTAAGTTTCTCACTTCTTTTTTTTTATAATTGTTTTTGTTTTTCAAATTTTCTCCTTTTGTAGGATAAAATTGAGAATTATGTCTGTGATATACTGAATTAGAGAATGAATCAATAACCGTTCTGAAATTGTTCGTTTCGCGTCGAGAAAATTAATAACTCGTCACATGAGAGATTCAACGCACAAAATCACTAACAAAACTAGTAATGAAAAACTCTTTAACGAGCAACACCACCACGAAACACGAACAAGAAACACAAGTTATGAATTTCTTGTCTAAAAGATTAAAAAAAAAAAACAGCTATGAAAATTTTTAGTAAATCAATGAAGTGTTTTTAGGAAACGATTAATGTCCAACAGAAGAAAAAGAGGAAAGGATTAATGACATATTTAATTATCTTTTACGCATAAGTAGTTCATAAAAAAATAAGATATTGAAATCAAATGGATGATACGCAGAGATATACATCCAAGGAAATTGCTTGGACCACAAGTAACAAAAATCTTCGGCGCCCGCTTTAAAAAGGCAATATCAAGATTGCTTCTTCTCTTCATCCACAATATCCATTTCAATTTTGATTCCATGAAAACTGGGCAAGTGCAGCTCCTTTCTGTTCTGAAAGCATGCCAAAGCTATGTTTGCAATCTCTCACAACTCACAAGATCGGCGGCTGCTCGGACGCCTCTCGTCGGTCCTCCGGAGCTCAAACTACCGGTAACATCACAACTGTCACTGCCACAACCCCAATTAGCACACCAACCCAGCCCAACCCCCTCCGCGAAGGAGGTCCCGTACTCCTTCGGTAACCCCTGCCACAATCTCTATTTCCACGTGGTAGGCAACGAACCTGAGAGCCATGAGCATCTGAACCAACTGCTTCCGGAGGCCTGGTCCCACAATCCCCTAACCACCCTTAAGCTCATCGGTAACCTGCTAGACAACCACCACCTAACTGGAAAAGGCTACGACGAATTGTTTTACACGGCAGCGTTTTGGCTCTACCAGAACCACCCCAAAACCCTAGCGCACAACGTGGTGCCGATCGTCGGGTCTTTGGGGGCTTTTGAAAACATTCTTGAGGTTCTTTACGGCATTGTAGATGTCAATGCCAAGAGCAAGAGGACATCGAGGGAACACGATTGCTATTTTGAGTACATAAACTTGATACAGGAGAAGGCAGGCGACACGGGGACTAAAAGATGTATCGCGATGGCTAGAAATGCTGTCGACATGTATGAGCGTGACCCCAATTATCAATTGTTACACGAGAGGGTTTCGGATGTTTACGCTGAGTGCTTGAAATGTGATATCCAAAATTTGAAGGAATATGAGAAGCAGAAGCTGGATAATGACAATGATCCTAAGGACTCCGAGGTGTTGGAGTTAACCTCTGCAGCGAAATGGTGCCCTTCTGTTGATTCTTTCTTTGATCGCGCGACTTTGATATGCGAGAGCATTGCAAAGAAGGTGTTCCCGCGAGAGGAATTCGTAGAGGGTGTTAGTGTTGAGGAGGAGGCAAATTATGTGTCCAGGGTCCGAGAGAGGCTGATGCGTGAGGTTTTGGAGCCTTTGAGGGCAGCCATAGCGAAAGGCTATAAAGATAATACTCGAAGATGGCAAAGGTTAACCCCGAAGAGCAAGTTTGTGCAGACGGACTTTCCAAATGATTTTAATCCAAGAGTGTCAAGGTCAGCAATTGTTAAGTATTTGGAGGATGTCAAAGCTGGAGGCAAGTCGAAGATTGAAGCAGGTGCCATGCTTCCAGATGAGATCATAAGCAATGTGCACGACCACAATTATGGGCAACTGGCTGAGCATCAGTGGAAGGCAATGGTGGAGGAGATCTTTTTAAAAGAGGGGAAGTGGAAAAGCTGCTTGGCTGTGTGTGACGTCTCCGGAAGGATGTGTGGTAACCCCATGAATGTGTCATTGGGTTTGGGACTGTTGGTGTCTGAACTGGGTGAAGAGCCATGGAAAGGAAAGGTCTTCACTTTTAGTCGAAACCCTCAACTACTTACCATACAAGGGGATGGTCTTAAGTCCAGGTGCACGTTCATGAGGATGATGGACAACCAGGACTGGGATGGCGAAACTGATTTTCAGAAGGTGTTTGATTTGATTCTGAACGTGGCTCTGAATGAAAATTTGAAGCCAGAGCAAATGATCAAGAGGGTGTATGTGTTCACCAGCGACCAAGATTTTGATGATGCTTCGGGCGGTAGCTGGAACACAGATTATGAGGCAATACAAAGAAAGTACAAGGAGAAAGGGTACGGAGATGTGGTGCCACGCATAGTGTTTTGGGATCTGAACGATGACAAGTACCCTATGGCACTTCCTGCAGAACAAGGGGTGGCCACATTGGCTGGCTACTCCAAGAAATTTTTCAAGTTCTTCTTGGACAATGATGGGGATATTGGGCCCGACCATGTCGTGGAAGCAGCCATCTCTGGCGAACGGTACCAAAATCTGGCTGTAGTGGACTAATCTTTGATTTGAATTATTGCTCTTGTTTTCTAGTTAGGGTTTGGTAACTCTTTTTGAGTGTTATTGGATCCACTCTTTGTCTTTTCATTTTCCGTTCCTTTGCCCTTTGGGATTTTATGAAAAGAAAGCTTCAGTTGGCTTGTTTAATGGTTTGGTAATAGCATTTTATCTGGTTTAATTACTGCAAATTTGTGATTGCTAATTGTGCAGGATTTCAGATATGTGTAGATATATTCATAGATATGAACAAAATGATTTAAGTCGTTACATCGCGTGCAGTTTTAAACAAATTGGACATCAGTTTTTGCTTGAACTTTGTAATTTCATTTCTCTTCCTTCATGCCCTGGTGATCGGTATTTGTAGCAGCACGGCCGTAAGAGTGATCACTAAATTTGTGGGTTGTACTTGAATTTGTTTCCGAGAGGTACTTCGAACCATGTATTGTTCCGATACTGACTTGAATGTATGCAACAAGGCTCGAAGTTTTCGGTTAAACATATTTTCATTTTTCGTTTCTTGCTTGAGAAAGTTGGCTTCTTGTTGATTTATTTTTCAAATCTGGATGAGTTGTAAAGAACAATCATTTTTCAGTGTAACACTGGTGCAGCCAAAAAAAATGCCAAGACAGAGCGAAAAGTATGAAGGGTTTCTCCACAGGAGTTACAAAAAAGTATGAAGACAAAACGCTTGGAAACAAAATAGAAGAAAGCATAGTGAGTGAAGATAAGAAATTTTTATATCCCAAGAACACGGTCACGTGTTGTTATTATGTACGAAAAATCAGAATAAAAGCGATCAAGTGCTTACTGTCTAATGTTATAACGCTCATATTTGCAAGAACTATATATAACATCACCAATCATGCTCTCTATTTTATGAGTTACCTAAAAAATACAATCCCCCGATGTTGGTCTTCTAGTCATAGGACAGTTTGCCCAATTTGAGTCACAAAAACTCCTTAATCATAATTCACTTTTGGAGGAAAATAACAGCCCTTGTCCAGGACAATTTTTCAAATATTAAAGAATCCGAAGTGCAGCATCCAAGTGTAGTTTTCGTGGTTGATGCATGACTTGGCTTAGAATATTGACATCATATGTGATGTATGGTCTAGTAATTGTGAGGTAATTATTGAGAATTTCGCCATGATCACTGTTGGTAAGTTTCAAATTTTGCTCCATAGGAAAATCAACGGGTTTAGATCCGGCCTCATTTGGTGGGGAAGATGGGATGAGTTATTTTAAGTTAAATTGGACTTGTAACCCAGCCAATATTTGGTGAGAAAAATTGTAACATGGACTGAATTGACTACAAATCCGAAATAAGGAAAATATAATGGGTTATGTAACCTAATCACACACATGGGTTATGTAACCTATCCCTACCAATCAAATCCTATCCCTAAGACTCAACCTCATCCAGCCTATCGAACAGGCGTCATGCATTGTCCAAGATATCAAGAGTGTTTTTCCTTTGAGAAATTGCAATGCCGACTTTTGATAGAGATTTTTCACGGAATAACCAAAATGATTGACAGTAGACAAACTCAGAAACCACTTCTATTGATTTCAAATCTCTAGGACCAAAGTGAAAAAATTATGTCAATCTCAAAAATTATTTTGACTAAAACGCCATGTCATCCACACATATCAATATAGTAGAAAAAGTGTCACCAAGTACCCTTGTAAATAAACAGTAATCTGCGAGAGATTGCTTGTAGCCAACTTTTTCTTTTGAATTATTCGAAACCAAAAAATCACTACTTTTTCTTTTTGAATTATTCGAAACCAAAAGATCTTTTGAATTATGATGATATCCATCCTCATTGAAGTGATTGATTTTTTTTTTTCAACAGGAAGATGTTCAGGGATCTTGTCCCAAAAAAGAAGATTTTGAAATTAGATGGGAATTGCTTGGACTCCAAGTAACAAAATCATTGGTGCATAAATAAATGCAGAGAGAAGTATACGAAAAGGATCTCATCAATATATCTGTATATTCCCACACAATTCATTTCAATTTGGTGCAATGACGACAGGGCAAGTGCAACTCATCTCCGTTCTCAAAGCGTGCCCAAACTTTGCCGCCGCCGGTGGCAGCATTTCTCCATGCACAAGTCCTACAACTCTTGTTGGTCCTCCAGAGCTCAAACTCCCAACCTCACCACCACCTCCGCCTCGACTTCATTCAGAATACAAACGGGCTTGGGCTCGCACCCCCTCAGCGGCCAAGAGCCGCTTCCGCTCCTTCGGTAACCCCTTCCTTGATATCTTTTTCCATGCCGTAGGAGACACCCCCACCATTCGTAAGTATCTGAAGCAACTGCTTCCGTTCGCCTGGTCCCACAATCCCCTAACCACCCTCAAGGTCATTTGTTCTCTACAAAGGAGCTGTTTCACTGCCAGATTGTTTCACACCGCGGCATTCTGGCTCCACCAGAACCACCCCAAAACCCTAGCAGAAAACGTGGCGGCTTTTGCTGAACCAGGAAAGTTTGAAGAACTTCTCGAGGTTCTGTACCGGAATGTAGATGTAAATGGCGAGGGGATGAGGAGAATGGTGAGGACTCGTGAGTACGAATACCATCTGGAATTGATACAGGAAAAAGTAGACTGCGGCGGGCGTATTAGTAGTAATAAGAGAAAGGAGATGATGGACATGGCCAGGAAGGCTGTTGAGATGTACGAGCGCGACCAGAATTATCAGTTATTACACGAGCGGGTTTCGGATCTTTATGCTGAGTGCTTGAAGTCTGATATTCAAAATTTGAAAGAATATGAGAAGGAAAAGATGGCTGATGCCGTGGAGTTGAGGTTGACCACGGCGGCAAGGTGGTGCCCTTCCGTTGATTCCTACTACGATCGCGCCACTTTGCTCTGCGAGAGCATTGCGAGGAAAGTTTTCCTCCGAGAGAAATGCTCACAAGGAGTTAGTGTTGAGGAGGAGGCTGATTATGGGTTTAGAGTCCGAGAGCAGTTGATGAATGAGGTTTTGGAGCCCTTGAGGAGGTTCATGAAGCAATGCCTCTATGATGATGATTTTCCAAGAGAGAGGAGGTCCCATGCGGTTAAGAAGTACTGGATGGATATCAAAGCCGGTAAGTCCAAGATTGAGGCAAGTGCTATGCGTCCCGATGAGATCATATGCCATGCGAATAACCGCAACTTCGAGCAACTGGCTGACCCTCAGTGGAAGGCAATGGTGGAGGAGATCTATTTAAAGCAGGGCAAGTTGAAGAACTGCTTGGCTGTGTGTGACGTCTCAGGAAGGATGTGTGGGCACCCCATGAATGTATCCTTAGGTTTGGGACTATTGGTGTCTGAACTGAGTGAGGAGCCATGGAAAGGAAAGGTCTTCACTTTCAGTCGAAACCCTCAGCTACTTACGATACAAGGCGATGATCTTAAGTCCAAGTGCGTGTTTATGAGGAGGATGGACAATCAAGACTGGCACGGTGACGTTGATTTTCAGAAGGTGTTTGATTTGATTCTCGATGTGGCTGCGAATGAGAATTTGAAGCCAGAGCAAATGATCAAAAGGCTATATGTCTTCACCAGTTTTCAAGATTTTGATGATGCTTCGGTGAATAATTGGAAGACTGATTACAAGGCAATACAGAGAAAGTTTAAAGAGAAAGGGTACGGGGATGTGGTGCCACAGATAGTGTACTGGGATATGAATGACGACGATCTTATCCCATGGGTGCGCTATGCAGAACAAGGGGTGTCCAGGATGAGTGGGGACTGCAACGAATTTGTCCAGTTCCTTTTGGACAACGGGGTTTTTGGTCCCGACCATGTCATGGAAGCAGCCTTCTCTGGCGAACAATTTCAAAGCTTGGCTGTAGTCGACTGATTGTTTGTGTTGTTTTTTATTAGTGCAATTTATCTTCTCTTTCGTTTTTCGTTTTTCTTTTGCTTGGGGAAGTTGTCTTCTCGTTGATTTATTTCTGATATCGGTGTTAATTATAAAGAACTAAATGATTCTTTTGACTTCTTTTAGGTTGTTCTCGTTACATATAAACAGATAAAAAAATTTCGTGCCATACAAGTTTTGTTTCAACGAGAATTGGGATGTTTCGAGGTATCATTCTTTTTCGGTACAGACATTGTTGAATTCAAGAAAGCCCGAAGGCAGCGGAAAACCCTTTGCTTTTCTTGGGTTTAGAGGAAACAGCTGCATACTTGTGCTTAGAGTTTCAGCTGTATACAACATTTAATTAATCACCTAATTAGTGTTAATATGTATCAATCAATGCGACACTAATTAATCATTTTACATAATCTAAATCCACAACTAAATAAAAGCAAATGCTAATTCTCCATGATTTGGAGGATAGCAGAACAAAACCAAGATTAAATATCAGAAATTAAACGAGGAAAAAAAGGGATATGGAAGTTAAATAGCCTAGATACAGAGTTTGATATGTGTTTGAACTCCGTCGATTACTTGCACGCCAAGTAACAAATTTATTGGTGATCAAGTAGTGTGTTGGTATTATCTTTAAATAACAGTCTCATTTATTCTCTCAGCCAAATTGATTGAAAGGGAAAAAAAAAATCAGACCTCAAATTTGATTCAATGAAAACGGGGCAAGTGCAACTCATCTCTGTGCTCAAAGCATGTCCAGGCTCTGTGCGCAATGTCTCACATCTCACAAGAACGGTGGTTTCTCCGACACCTCTTGTCGGTCCTCCAGAGATCAAACTACCGGTAACCTCACAACCGCCGCTGCCACAACTCCATATAGCACACATAGCCGATTCCAACACTGCGATGGCCAAGAAACCGGCCTCATTTGGTAACCCCTGCCTTGATCTCTATTTCCATGTGAAACCATACAGCTGTGGGACAGCCTTTAAGCATCTGAACCGGCTGCTCCCGCTCGCTTGGTCCCATGATCTTCTGACCACCCTGAAGCTCGTCTGTAACCTAGTAGAAGGAGGTTAAAACTCCTCTGGAAAAGGTGAAGATGAGTTGTTTTACACGGCAACGTTGCGCCAATTGCCGATTCGTTTGGGAATTTTGAACACATTTTAGAGATTTTGCTCGGGATTCCGAGAGGAGGAGGTTGAATAGGGGGAGCAGCTATAAAATCAAATTCGAGGACTTGGTTCAGAAAAAAATAGGCAAAAGAAAAAGTGAGCAGATTGCCAAGGCCAAGAAGGTGATTGAGATGTACAAGCGTGACCCCAACTTCCAGTTGTTGCACGAGCAGGTTTCGGATCTTTACGCTGAGCACTTGAAGTCTGATATTCAGAATTTGAAGAAATACGAGCAGCAGCAGTTGGACAATGCTTATGGTCCTACACAGTGGGAGTTGGAGTTAACCCCGACTGCAAGGTGGTGCCCTTCTGTTGATTGCTTCTTTGATCGCGCCACTTTACTCTGTGAAAGCATTGCAAGGAAGGTTTTCCCGCGAGAGGAATGTGCAAAAGATGTTTCTGACCAGGAGGAGGAGGAGGCTGATTACGCGTCCAGAGTCCAAGAGCGGCTGATGGATGAGGTTTTGATGCCGTTGAGGAAGTTCATGAACTCGGGCTATTCGCATGATTTTCCAGCAGAGAGAAGGTCTGATGTGGTTAAGGAGTATATGAACGATGTCGATGATGCTGGCAAGTCTGAGATTGAGGCAGATGCTATGTTTCCACATGAGATCATACGCTATGTGAACTACCGCAATTTTGCGGAACTGGTTGACCCTCAGTGGAAGGCAATGGTGGAGGAAATATATGTAAAGCAGGGCAAGTTGAAGAACTGCTTGGCTATGTGTGACGTCTCCGGAAGGATGGTTGGGCACCCCATGAATGTGTCATTGGGTTTGGGACTTTGTGTCTGAACTTAGTGAAGAGCCGTGGAAAGGAAAGGTCTTCACTTTTAGTCGAAACCCTCAGCTACTTTCGATACAAGGCGATGATCTTAAGTCCAAGTGCAGGTTTATGAGGAGGATGGACAATCAGGACTGGGACGTTGACACTAATTTTCTAAGGTGTTTGATTTGATTCTGGAAGAGGCAGTGAATGCGAACTTGAAGCCAGATCAAATGATCAAGAGTTGTATGTGTTCACTAGTGACCAAGACTTTGATGATGCTTGCGGCCGTAGCTGGAGGACTGATTACGAGGCTATACAGAGAAAGTTTAAGGAGAAAGGCTATGGAGATGTGGTGCCACACATAGTGTTTTGGGATCTAACCGGTGACGAGTATGTCCCTGTGGAGTGGTGTACACAACATGGGGTGACCGCTATGAGAGGGTACTCCAAGGATTTTGTCGAGTGCTTCTTGGACAATGACGGTGATTTTGGCCCCGACCAGGTCATGGAAGCTGTCATCTCCTATGAGCAGTTTCAAAATCTGGTTGTTGTGGACGGATCTTCATTTGATTTATTGTTCTCGTGTTTTGGTAATGGTTTAGGTAGTTCTGTTGTTGATGCACAAAATCGGAAGGGTCTTGGAACAACGTAAATTCGACCGTGAATCTGCAAGAAAGTAAAGAGTACAAGATGTATCGTGGTTCACCTCAATGTTTGGGCTACATCCACACTGATGTTGATATTTTTTCACTCTGAATGGTGAATATACAAGAAGGCTAGAGGTAATGTGCTCTCTAGCCTATTTTTTGTGTGCTCTCTTCCCATGGCCTCAAACTTGGCCTCTGTATGTGAGAATGAGAGCTTGAGGTTTGTGAGGGTGAGGAGGCCCTTTTATAGAATAAGGGCTCCTCACTTATTACATATTTGCCCCTTCATTTATTACATAATTACATTTGAGTCCTCCAAGTATTTATACGAGGTCTAAATACGGAGGTCCTAAGTATGGTATAAACAGTAGTCCCCCAAGTCTTCAGTCAAAAGAGTCTTTTGGCTGGAGACTTGAAATTCAGTCCATGTGTGGGCCGAAGTAACTAGATGTCGTCTAGAACTGATACTCGATATGAGGCGGTGCCCAATCTAAAATGATGCTCAACCAAAAGTAGCACATGTTGCGAGGCTACTTTGCTTGTGGTTTATGTTGCCTTGGTTGGCTCGGCTTGTGGCGTTGAAGGTGGGGGAGTCCTTTTTATAGAATAAGGGCTCGCTCCTCAATACAAAAATGATGGGCTAGAGTTGGTGCTAACGGCGAGGCGGTTGCTCAGCAGGCGGCGATGCTCTTAAATGATGGTGAGGGAGTCCCTTTTATAGAATAAAGGCTCGCTCCTCAATACATAAGTGATGGGTTAGGAGTGATACTCACGGCGAGGCGGTTTGCTCAGCAGGCGGCGATGCTCTCTAATGATGGTGAGGGAGTCCTTATTATAGAATAAGGGCTCGCTTTTCAATACATAAGTGATGGGCTAGAGTTGATGCTCGAGGCGAGGTGGTTGCTCAGTAGGCGGCGATGCTCTCTAATGATGGTGAGGGAGTCTCTTTTATAGAATAAGGGTTCACTCCTCAATACATGAATAATGGGTGCTCTCTAATGAAAGTGAGGGAGTCCCTTTTATAGAATAAAGGTTCGCTCCTCAGTACATAAGTAATTGGCTAAGTCCCCCAAGTATTTTTGAGGCCCAGTTGCGGAAGCCCAATATATGATACATAGTTTGTAGTCCCCCAAGTCTTCAGTCAAAAGAGTCTGTTAGCTAGAGACTTCAAATTCAATCCATGTATGGGCCGAAGTGGCGGTTGTTCGGGGGCGGTCTTTGTATACCATGCACTGAAGCTTTGTAGGTGAAGCTTTGAAAGTGAAGCTTTGAAGCTGGAGCTTTTGTAAATAAAGCTTTTGAAGCTGGAGCTCTGTAAATGAAACTTTTGAAGATGATTGACATGAGTGATGCTCATGAATGTTAATGTTGATTAACATGAGTGATGCTCATGGATGTTGACATGAGTGATGCTCATGAATGTTGACATGAGTGATGCTCATGAATGTTGCCATGAATGATGGTCATGAATGTTTATGTATGATTGACATGAGTGATACTCATGTATAATTTTAGAGTACTGGACGTACTTTTGATCACCTAGTGGGTGATAATAGCGGCAGGCTGTTACATCCCACATCGCTCAGGGGAGTGATCCTTAAATATATATTCTCATCCCTACCTAACACGAGACCTTTTGGGAGCTCACTGGCTTCGGGTTCCGTCGGAACTCCGAAGTTAAGCGAGAAGGTGGCCAGAGCACTCCCATGATGGGTGACCCATTAGGAAGTTGCTCGTGAGTTCCCAGAAACAAAACCATGAGGGCGTGATCGAGGCCCAAATCGGACAATATCGTGCTACGGTGGTGCAGCGGGCCCGGGAAGTAGTCCACCCTGGGCTGGGATGTGACACAAGCTGCCGAATAATTTTGGAGTACTGGACGTACTTTTAATCACCTAGTTGGTGATAATAGCGGCAGGCTATCGAATATTTTTGGAGTACTGAGCGTACTTTTGATCACCTGGTTGGTGATAATAGCGGCAGGCTGCCGAATAATTTTGGAATACTGGACGTACTTTTGATTACCTGGTTGGTGATAATAGCGAGTGAATCTTAAGTGGAGGGATGAAGGTTGGGGTTTGAAGCCTTGTAATTGCTTTCGGTGCACCTGGCACCATCATTACTTCATCTTTTCTGTTAGATTCCACTTTTTTTTTTTTTTTTTGTAATTGCTTTCGGTGCACATGGCACCATCATTACTTCCTCTTTTCCACTCTTCCTCTTTTCCTTTTTTTGAAATATTCTCTCAACAACATTATGATCTTTTTCTTTTTCTATTCTATTCATTTATCCTGATCTCCTTTCTCCTCCTTTTTCTTTTTCTATTTTCTTCCTCCCTTTTTCTTTTTCTAACATCATGATTGATTTCCGCGGCGCCAAACCCGCACATAGACAT